CAAAATTCCAGGATGATATACTAAACTAGAAATTCCTAGTCAGAGTTGACTGCAAATCAACAAAGTATGTTTTAGAAAATGACATACAAAACATTGCTAGTAAGTAGATTTTTGCCAGATGATAATCTATTTTAAGGATTTTCGATTTTGACATCGAGTATATTAAGGGCAGTAATAACTGCATCCCTGATTTTCTAACTCGTGAATTTCTGCAGGAACCTCATGGCGAACAGGAAACACACTAACCCTAGTACCTCTTCCAAAGCCGGGAGGGATATTGGAAAACAAAAACTTAGTCAAATATTTGCCCAGGAAAAGGAAAACCTTGACAAACAATTAGCCTTACCAAGCCCACTAGTCTTGACAAGCTCAAAACCCCAGTCATCAGCTATTCAAATTACCAATAGATTCCAACTTCTTGGTAATCCTAACCTTACAAGGCCAGTAGCTAGATCAACCATAGTTCAACCTAGTACTTTCCTCCAAATGGCCTAGTAGGCCCCAAAACCTATTTCATCAAGTCAACCTAGCACTTCTAGCCAACTTGTTGACTTGTATTCTCAACAACAACAACAACCACAGTTAGCCCACAAAGGCCCAAAGGTTAATTACATCAAAGCCTATACCCCAAAATGTATTTGACATCAAACCAGTTCATGCTCACCTAAGCAACCCAAAGGACCATGTCAATGCATACATTGAACCAGGATGGACCTTTATTCTATCTGATCCTAAGAAGACATTCAATTTCTATCAGGATATATTATTCTTTACTCAGTCCATTTTTGTCAAGCCCATACCTGATAAGAATGATCCGAGTAAAGTCATTTATCACTCTATAAATATTTTAAAGATTATTTCTCTTAAAGATTGAGGATCTCATCCTTCTTTACTCAGAAATCGTCCTTATCACATTAAAAAGTTTAATTACTATGATTGCAAGGAATCATGGTTTAAACTTATCCTTTATCAGGGTGATTCTTTAAATCACTCATGGTTCATACAATTCCATAAAAATTTCAAGAGCCAGATTTCATCCTAGTTCCCACAGTGGTGGTTTATTCATGGCCCTATTCATGAAATTATTCTAGTTGATCTTCAAGATCAGATCATAGCTTTCTCCTCTGTTTATAGACCTAGTAAACATGAGAGTCAGTTTCCTATTTTACTAACATTTATTTGCAGGTACAAAGTCCCATGGATATATAAATAGAAATGGAAAATTATTGGCTTCAATGTCGCCAGACAATTTTATGTCAAAGGGTGGCCTAGGTTCCAGCAAAGACCAATTATTAACTGAGTTAAACAGGAGTTCCCAGTCAAGGTTCCAACTCCAGCAGTGGTCCCAGCAACCTTAACTCCTGCCACTCTAGCTAAGCAGGTCATGCCTTCTCTTAGGATTTTCACTCCAAAAGAGCACAAGAAGTTCGTTACAGAAGAATCTAAGCAGAAGAAGTCCTCCTCTAAGGACTCCAGTAAGCAATCCAAGAAGAAGTCTACTGCCCTTATTGAGTTAGCACAAAATTTCTTCAATAAGCAGCTAGTGAGAGCAGTTCTTCTACATCCTCCCAAGCATCAGTCACACCCTCATTGGATTCGTTCCAAGATAGCCAGGATCCTTTTGCAGGATTTGATGATTTGGTAGATATATCTACCCCATAATGATACTTGTCCATATGTATGATAGCTTCAATCACTACTTTCTTCATTAAAGAAAGAAAAGTTGTCTATTACATATATTGATAAGAAATCATTTGATACAACGACTCTTTCCCCTAGCAAAGCAATCATCAACCACTTGTCAAATTTGCTTTCCACCGAAAATAGATTCCTTCAGACAACAGCAGGACCCACCTGCATCGAAAGTCAGCATTCACTCTGGTAAAAGTAATTCACTTCCACTTTTCCATCGAAAGGCTAAAGTGAAAATATTTTACCCAGGTAAAAGCATCCACATAAGACAAAGAAGCAATCATTCCAAAGATTCCTTTTGAACTCCTTACATCTATTTAAGGACTTCAATCTTCATTATCTCCTCAAGCTTTGACACCCGAAAGCTCTCATAAGTCTTCCTCTAAACACAAAGTTCACTATCCCTATACTCTATCCTTATATTGTAAAAGAGCCTTCATAATGATGCAAATGAAGAGCCTCTTTCTATCCACTCTCTACAGCCACTAGCTCAGTAGTGCTAGTGTTGTAAATATTTTATTTCTGCTATTGTAATTTATATTTTGTTCAAATAAACAAAATTTTTATAATTCATCACCAGTCTATATCTACAACTTGTGTTTCTCACAATACTCACATGTTTTTCCGCACTTGTTATATTGTGGTATCAAAGTCATTTGACGACCTGGATAGTTACCTATGCAGTTATATTCGAATTATCTTACTTATTTTAAATCTCTTTCATTTCAATTTAGTAAATCTATGTTTAGTTTGGTCTACCCTTGTCACCCAGCCTTTGTCAACTCAAGAGGGAGTGTCTCCTGGTGAGGCAGTTTAGGAAAAAACAGAGACGTATCATGAGAGCATGTATGTTAGGGGGTTTGCACAATGGAGTCAAACCTAAACATTAATTTACATAATTAAAAAATTAGATTTAATAATGAGTAGATTATTCAGATCTAACTCTATGGCTAACTCATCTAGTTCTTCATTTAGTACTATACCTAATATAGTAAAGGAGGAAGAAGAAGAACATCATGAGTCACAAGTTGACTGGAGTGGATGGAATATCCCAAAGGTATTCCATCGCCACATCTACAAAATGAGTTGGATTGCAAAAGCATTCGACTCAGAACTCCGAGTGAAAATAATTGAACAAGTTTATGCCCATAGTAAAGAGGAAGAAACTTGCCAGTTAATTAGTAAAGAAGCCCTAAAGAAACATAGAGAAAAAGGTTTTAATTTTATTCACTTAGTTTTAGTTCAAGTAGCAATTAAACCTTTAATGTCACCTGATAAAGATGCAACAACTCTATTAACCCTAAGAGATGCTAGGTTTTTAGAATATGAACCAACCATTTTAGGAATAATGGAGACTGGTCTCTATAATAGACCAGTTTATTTTAACTGTTTTCCAGACTTTACCCTAAGTCTTAGTTGTAAGAATACACTAATGTCTTTAACCTTAGGGATAAAACTTTCTAGACAAATTACCAAATTAGTAAAAGAAACCCAATCTCTAGTACTTATCTATAGGATTTACTACAAATGCATGACCACAAAACCTGAATGTACATGCATTAAAAAAGCATTTTAAAGATAAAACTGTGCTTATTCAAGCCAGTATTAGTGATTCTAACATCCAAGTCCCAAAAATGGTTGAATGGAAGAATGTTCAACTTCCAGAATCATGGACAGTTGAAAATGAAAATTATAATAAGGATAGTGACAACACTGCCGCTAACCTTGAAAACATCAAACCGTTATCTGATGGATTAGTAAGAATCTCCTTTGATTCTGCTAGATCTAGCAAATCCAACAGGTTATTTAGTAAGCCTATCCAAATTAATGAAGGAAGAAAATCTGATGTTTATTCTAGCATCTCCAGAAGAGATAAAGAATTAACATAAGAAATAGAAAGAAAATTTAAGCTAAAAGGAATTGATAATTCCACACCACAAATTAGTAGACCGCGCTACACTCCATATCAGAGTGTTCCACAAACCAGTCATAGAAACGAAGAGGAAGAAGATGATTTCACCCCTTTCACCAAAAGCCAGTGACTTACAAAGCACTGTCCTAGTAAATCACTAGTTAGTTATGATTAGGAAAGAAAATGGGTTATTCTTACCTAACATGATTAACCTAGGAAAAGACTTTAAATCTGTTGAGAGTGAATCTAAAAGACTAAAGTACTTTAAAAGATTCAATAGTAATCGACAAAAAGAAATAATGGCATAATGAGTTAATTTAATGCACAAAATAGAATTAGAAATTCTATTTTTTGATTATCTGGAAACCCATCACCCAGAAGTAAAAATAGTAAAAAAAAAAATAAGTGAAAAACAGAAAATTTCACCATAGCCTTTAGTCATCCCCTAGTGAAAACCATAATATTTAGCCATTTGGATAAAGAAATTATAGCCTCACCTTTTAAGATTCCCACCGATGAATCTCACAAAAAAGGTAATTGAGCAAAATAATTTCACTAACCAAAGTCTAATAACTACAGGTAAATAACTTGATAAAATTGAGACTAAAATCGACGAAACAGCTTGATAAAATCGATACTAAAAAAGATGTCATCATATTCTTTTGCTGTACAAAAGAATATTGTAATTGCTAAGCATACACAATTTTATCCAATGAACTCGTATCACAGAAATTTTTTTGGACCAGTTTAGTGATGTCAATGCTACTTTATGACAATCCCTATCAAAATTTGCATATTTCAACTAGCTTGGAAGCTGGAGGAGGCTGGACACAAGCTGATCAAATTTTTATGCTCAATTTGCGTAAACAAATTGCTCAACAACTAAACTCTTCATTTGTATCATAATTGTAATTTTTAAAATTTATGACAATTGGTAGTTATAAGTAATTAATTTAACTTAAATTAATTTTATTATCATGTTTATTAAATATAGACTACAATATGATAATAGTGATTATGATTTATGTTATAAATTAAATTGATTTGATAAATTATTATTTTTATTAGATAAACTCATATTTTTTCAATATTTTTTCAATTATAGAACAGAAGGATAAAATTGAAAATTAATTTATTTTCTGACATCAATTTTATGTAATTTGATTTAACTCAATATTTAAATTTCAGTGAATATCAAACAGTCTACAAATTCAGCATTCAATTTTCAATTATTAATTTTCAAAATTTTCAGTTTTAACGAACACAATCTATTAATTGAATGAGAATAATTGATCAGTCAACAGATTAACCCTATCAGCCAATACTACGTGTCCGGTCAGAACAGAATCAAAAGCAAAATACATTTAGTCAACGGCACTGTAACCCTATCACACAATCCACAGTTGGCATTTTGCTGTAAGGAAACATACCCAACTAGTTAGCTCGCACTTTCTCTCTCATCATACTCTTTCGGAGGAAGCTCACCCAACCCTGTAATTATCTCTCTCCTTCGCCCCTGCCGCGCCCCCACACCTCCCTTCTCTCTGTCTTGGTCCCTCTGTTTCAATCCTGGCAGAACCATCAAGAATAAAGCCGTCCAGGTTATCTCTCTCTCTCTCTCTGCGTTCATGATTTTCGTGGCATTTTGTGGACAATATATCGTTTGTGGATTTGACTTCTGATCTGCTCATACACGTGTTTGTGTGGGCAGGTGTAGAATTGAGTGTGCAGATCTTGATCTGTGAAGACAGAGAAGATGAATAGATGCGGATCTCGGCAGAAGGTTTTGGGAGTCTGTAGAGAGATGAGGGGACAAACGATCTGTGCCTCCGATGGCGTCATTTGCCCTAAGCCTCGTCGACTTGGAGCCTTGAATCCCTCCATTAACGACCAGATCAGACAATCTAGGTGGCACATCAAGTAATTTCCTAGTCAACTTAATCGCATAATTTTTACTTTTTTTTTTTTTAAATCTATTAATTTGGTTTTCTGATTTGAGTTTGAATTTGCTCTAGAAATATTTTTAATTTCATTTGCATCTTTGTTGCCTTTTATTCTTAATACAGTTATCTCTCTGAGGCTTACGACTCAAAAGCAGGGCCGGAAGTTCTCGACATCATTCTCCCTAAGGTACAGTTTCAATCTGCACAACAGTTTCTGTTAGAAAAATGTAAATATTTCTCCTCTAGGGACTATTTCACTGCTGAGAAAAGGTAGGTAAATGAAAAAAAAAAATAGATGGAAAAAGAAGAAAATGGAAATTTTTGAGATTTGGTTTTTATTCTTGCATTTTTCTTCTCACATTTGTTTGATACTCTAAGCAGGCAATGGAAGTTGATTAGATTTATTGAATAGACTGAGTTATGTCCTAGAGATTGCTTAAGTCGGTTAGGAGGAAATAGGATTATTTCCCAGAGGATTGAATTGAAAGAATAGTTTTCTTTGTGATTTTCTACAGGGAAGTTATGGTGCTGAGAAGTCCAATACTCAGGTGGCTTCATCGCCACCATTCTTTTGTGGGTCTCCACCAAGTAGGGCTTCAAACCCTGTGGTCCAAGATGCAGAGTTTGGCAATGACACATTCAATCTGTTACCATTGGCTCTCGAAGCATCGCCAACATCCTCAACATGTAAAAACGGAGGATGTGTTCGTGCAATATTAGGGCACAAGCCAGCCACAGTGAGAATTGAAGGGTTCAACTGCAGGGGCATCTCTGCTGTAGCTTAGAGTCTTGGACAAACTCCATTGTGCGACCCTCAAAAGCAGATGGAGAAACAAAGAGTTGGGGTGAGTTTTTAGGGGAGAGGAACTATTTAGTTTTGTATATAGATGTTGAAAATGGGTCATCATTTGCTAAGTTTTGTGTCAATTGACAAATATGTATATGTAAATGTAAACGAGTTGATGAGAGAAGTTGATGCTAATGAAGCTGAAGAGAAGGGAAAATCCTCCTTTTTTTGTAGTAGTTTTTGGTGAGGCCGTGGGTAGCGTACTTGGTCTGGTGGTAGTATTGATTTTAGAGCAGAATTTTTGGTGACCGAGTTTCCCCCTTGTCCTTCATTGTAATTCTTGCCCGACGGCAAGGAGGAAATGGTGTTTCGAAGATTATTTTTTGTGTTTTTACGCGTGCTTCTATTCGTAATAACCCCGTATAGATTTTAGAAGCACGTGGTATTGAGTTTGTCAACTTTTGATACAAGTCATGTAACTCTCTGTTCAAATTCACTGAATGATGTTATAGCCACAATAATGTAATGTAACTCGTTGTCTATTGATTAATATTTTTTGCATATAGCTTTTTTGATCCATTATATTAATAGGGTTTTTTGTCAAAATGCTATCCAAAGAGGTGGTCTTTTCAGCATAATTTTTATGGATTTTTTTAATAGTAGATAATGGGTCAATAAGTCTAGACGTGATCTCAATGAGTCATTACGAACTAGTGTAAAAAGACAATAAAGACCCCAAATTATACTCAGATCCTAAAAGTCCTAATGAAGATCTTAAAAATCCTAACGCAAATGATTCATACACACGTATCTTTCTTCACGTGAATTTCTCTCTCCTCCCCCACGTTTTGTCTATCTCCACACAGATCTCTCCGGCTTCACAAAAATTTCTCTCATACGTGTATAGATATACACACATACAAACATAGCAACCTTCTATATATGCGGCAATAGAAGATTATTATATATATAAACACATATATTTATATATTCGTATATACGGTGGCTGCTATATTGCAATAAAAAATTGTTGAATACATGTTTGATGTATTTTCAGATTACGATCGTGCCAAAATTTGATTGAATTTATAATTTAAATGCTTATGATCTTATCTATTTGAATCGGTTTGACATTTTAAAATTGTAATTGTTCAAATGATTATAACAAAACGTGTTCAAAGGAGAGCGCCTGAACTCGGGTTCACTTGCTTTTCCTGTAATTTGGGCCGCTTCAGTTCTACGAACCTTGTGTACAGAGATCACCAAATTCATGTGGTAAATCTTTCTTTTTTTCCTTTCTTCTAGTCAAAATTTCAGTGCCACTAGTCAACTCCAAACCAACAGTACTACATTTACCCAGTCAGCCAATTGATCAAGGTGGTAGAACGAAAGGTTGATTGGGTTCCAGTAAAGACAATAAACTTGAGTGGTTAGTCAGGTACAGCACCAACACCAACAAGCTCAAAATTTCAATTTCATTTCCACCCAAAGAATCATAACACTTTGATTTTGATGAAAACCAAAACAAAACAGTTAAACAACACACGCTCAATTCGTCTATTTTTATTTATTTTTTACTTGGTTTTTATTCTGTTTTGGAAATATTTTTGAAAAAATTTCCATTTCAAACTACCCGAAACTAAACACCAGAACAAAATTCTTGATCCTTGAACATCAGTTTGGCCTTGCATGATGTGTGATCAGAAAATGATTATCACAAGGTGATTTCAAGAAGACATATAAATGTACAGCCTCTACAATTTGCATTTAACCTTGAGCAAAAAAAAAATTACAATTTGCAATTAACACCCAAGAATACAAAATTGCCTGCTATTGGATCCCGACAGGACCAAAATTTGGAATGTTACTGCATCCAAATTTCACTTTTACTATGTTTCTATTCTATTTCTATTTCTAAAATATTTCCAAAATACTTCTATTTCTGTGCTACCCAAAACAAAACATTAAAACGAAATTTTAACACCAGTTTGGTGTAGCATGATGTCCCCCCAGAGAGTGCATATCTACAATGTGTGAATTAACACCAAAGAATACAAAAGTGCCTGCTGTAGGCTCTAGACAGAGACTCAGTCAAAAAATAGTAGATAGGTAAGGAACCTATGCAGAGTTGAAGAAAATGTAAAACTCTGGTGGTACAAAATCAGTGGACCAATATACACTAAGAGTACTGCTGTTTCTTCCATCTATTGCTACCTTTTTGGAGGCCTGTTTGATATATTACTTCCACTAACTGATTTTTGCAAACCTGAAAACAAATGAAGGAGACGAGAGTTAAATGGCACACGGACAGAATTGCTGAGGACCATTCCTTGGGAAAGCACTAATTTTGCATACCTGTTGAGTCCTTTAACAATTCCTTTGGTGAGTTTGGTTGGGGCCGAGGAATTTTAGCTGGTGACTTAGACCTGCACTAGAAAAAAAAAATTCGTGATGCAAAATGGTTGACAATTCATTTAGATTCACAACCGCAAAAGTTAGCTTGCTTCCTCAACTACTAGTAAAAAGTGGCGTACTCTTTCTTAATAAAATAGAACTGGAGAAAAAAAGGATGTTCAGATCAGCTGCACAAACTCAGTTTAATTGTGCTACCCAACAGGGGAGAAAAAGTAAAAGGAACAAGTAGATGTTAATGATATTTTATACCTAATACTAACCATTAACAGAGCTCCAGAATTAACAAATGTTCACAATTCTCCTTTTTTTGGGCAGTGCGTACTTGACATATATGGAAAAAAGAAGGACAAAACTTTAAAAATAGTAAATTGAAAAATATATATATATACATGAAAATACAGCCAATAGACAAGTATCACTAAACAAAAGTTGTTATAAAAGCATAGGCAATCAAATCAACACGAACCCAACGTATATCCATGTCCTTCCAGTCGCTGGAATTTCACTAGTGTAATTTTCAGCGGACGTAACAAATGACAAGAAAAATAAGATGAAACCATGCTGCCATATGTTTTTGGAAGCATTTCACCCAAGCACGTGCAATGAGTAAGGGTCAAAATTTTGTTGTGGAGCATTGTTTCTGTGACATAAGAAACAAAAATGTTTAGGAAATGGGCAGAACCAAAATGCAAATGGAGAAAAAAATTGGAAATTTGTTTCCGAAACATTGTTTGAACTATACTAAATCATCTTGAAATATCTCAAAAATTCCCAACACCTCAAACCATACAAGTTTCAACAGTATTATAGTCTTTCTCTTGTAATAGGGTTTTATATATAGTGTCTCTTGTACCTGCCTAGTTATTTCTTAATTTTACAAAACCTTGGTGTAGTAGTTTTCTTTTCTCTCTTACTCTTTTTCGTATGTATTTTCTTCTTTGCAAGTTTATGCAAGTTTACATGGTATCAAAGCAAGGTTCTCATTAGTCATTATTCTTTGGATTTGCAATCATTTAGCATGAACAGGGTCGTGAACAATAACAGTGCATGAACAGTTCTCTCCTATACACATCTCTCGTCTTTATGTGGTTTTGACTATTATTTTGATGTTAGGGTTTCATTTGTTGGTTGAAGAAGACTAGTGTCTGCTATTGTTTTACTTTCTTTAAAGTTTTTAAAATTACAGAGAAGACCCTAAATTTTCAGAAACTATAGAAATTTTAGAATCAGTCCAGCAAATTGCACAAATTGCATATTCTACCCGAGGAAAATGCAGAAGTTGTAGATTCTGCCCAAGCAAAATGCGGAAATTGTAGATTCTGCTTAGAAAAGTGCAAAAAAATTACAAATTTTACCTCAAAACATTGCATAAATTACAAATTCAGCTACTTCTATCCTTGTTTAAGGTTTTGAAAAATTAAGGTTTGGAGTTGAAGCAAGAGTTCTGGAAGGAAGGAAAGAAGAGTTTTTAGAACTTGCACTATGAAAAATAGAAGTAATGTTGTATCTGCTTTGTCTCCTATTGGTTTATCTTTATCAACACCTTTAGGTATATCTCACTCTACTTGGGTCTTTGATTCAGATGATTCAAATCATATGACTAATGATCCATCTTTGTTTCCTTCTAACTCATCTCCTTCTCCCCTAATACTGTTCTAATGGTCAACGGGACTTCCATGTTGGTGGTAGGGGTTGGATCTATTATCACTTCTCTTCTCTCTCATTTGATGTTTACTGTATCCTACAATTATTTTGATTGTGACAAGCCGTAGGGTTGCAGGATTATATATGCTGAAAAAATTACATGTCCCAACTGTGACTACTTCTTCGATTGATATGTCTTCCTTTCATTTGAACCCCAAGTCTTTTGTATTTTATTTATGGCATTCTTGTCTTGAACATATTCCTAGTTCTCGTTTGAGGTTTATAGTTTCTACTAATGCTTTAGAAAATTTAATTAGCCATGATATTTCTAATTGTAGTGGATGTAAACTTGCCAAATTCACAAATTTATCTTTTAAGAACAATTCCACTTCTTCTACTTCTTTCGACCTTGTGCATTCCGATGTGTGGGGTCCTGCCCCCATTGCAACCAAAGGGGGTTCTCGTTACTATGTTTCTTGTATTGATAATTATACTCAATATTGTTGGATTTATCTCATGAAGCAGCGATCTGAATTTTTCTCTACCTTTGCTGTTTTTCGTGTCATGGTTCACACACAATATTCTATAATAATTAAATGTTTTCCATGTGATTTGAGTGGGGAATACAAATATACTGATTTTCTTAATTTATTGAAATCTGAAGGAACTATTCAACAGTTCTCTTGTGCAGACACTCCTGAACAAAATGGTGTGACAGAGTGATAAAGCACGGCACATTACGGAGACAGTTTGTTCATTACTTTTCTCTGCATTTGTTCCTAGCTCTTTTTGGAGAGAGGCAATTCTCACATGTGTTCATCTAATTAACCGAATTCTTTCTATTATTACTTCGACTATTTCCCCTTTTAAAAGTTTATATGGTAAACCTCCTGACTACTTCTCATTGTGTGTTTAGTTGTCCTTGTTTTGTTCTTCTTTCTAAATCTGAACAAAATAAGTTATATGCTCGTTCTACTGTGTGTTTTTCTTAATAATGGTGCCGCACAAAAAGGTTATCGTTGTTATGATAGTTTGTATCTAGACATGTTGTCTTCCTTGAGGAGTTCCACTCAAGGATCAAAATTTTGTTTCGAAGTACCGTTTCGGTCAACTCAAAAATAGAAACGTTTCGGAAACATTTCGGAAACGCAATGGAAACGCAGAAAAAATATGGAAACGCATAGAAACACAAATGCAATCCATTAATTTATAAAGATATGCTAAATAATTTATTAATTCAACATATTTATTAGGTTAACATCAATTTATACAAGAATAAATTTAAATTTGAGGGAAAAAAAGGCTTGACTTGAGGCGAAAGTCACTTAAATTAGTTTCAAACACTTAATTTTTATGAAATAAACACATTTTTACATAATATTAAGGTCTTATAATACACATGAAATGCTAATGAGTACATACTTACATGGTTACATCCATTCCCCTGTGGAGTGTCGAGCAGGCTCATACATCGGTGTA